CCCTTTCACGGTGTCCAACAAGAGAGCGCTTCTCCTGTCTTCTGGCTGCTGCCTGAAATGGATGCAGTTGAGAAAGCGGATATCGAACGCTTGCCCATTTGATGTGAAAGTCAGCGAGGTGCGAGTGAGGCGCAGGTCTCTGCAGATTTAACTCCAGAATGTTTTTTTATTTTAACATGGTGGTTCCTGGAACAGCCCACACTCCCTCAGGGAGACATCCTTTGGTTCACAGGGTGGTGATGCATTGCACATGTGCTTCAGAAGTCGCCCTGCCCCACTTACAGGAAGTGTTTCCTGCACCTATCCTGCCTTTCTATATTCAGCCTAACTGCCAGAGCCTTGAAATATCTGCAAAGCCATAAACTGCAAGTGAACTGGAGGTACTGTGGAGCTTTATTCAGGGCTGATGTCTTGGAAAAGACTGTCTCTGTACTATAAGAGGTCATGCAAGGAGCAATCATCTTAACACTTAAAAAAATACTTTAAAAGTATTTTTTTAAGTGTTAAGATGATTTTCTTATGGGTTGTGTGGCCCAGTAGCTTAGTGACCATTGGGGTTAATCTGCTTGAGTTCTGAGGTTCTTTTCCTTGATACTGTTAAGTTGGTCTTCTGTGGTATTCTCCCTGTCTTGAGTTGAATCCATTAGTGCCTGTGGCTATTGTGTAGTACAAGACAAATAGATTGTTCATTGCAAGAATGAATTATACTCACTCTGTTAAGGGATGTTTCAGAGGTCATTCACATTTATGCATGCCTGATTAAAACTTCACAGTTTCATAAAACTGTGAATGGAATCATTAGTTTGGTGTAATGGAAGCCGCGGACAGTGGCTTAGAAAGTTTGTAACTGGAAATAAACCGACGTATCTTTGCAATGATGTATGAGAGCTGGGCGCAGCTTTTGGGAAAGGTGAAATGTAAGTTTTTTAATTACAGATATGCAGCACATCTAGTTGGTAAGAGAAGTAAAAAAATAATATATACTTCTGTAAAAAGAACTGGTCACACTTTCTCTAGGGTGCAGCCCAAATTACATTATCACCCTATGAAGATCTGCTGATTCTTGTGAAATGTCAGACAGACCACATTGGATTTAAATGCATGCTGGGCTGAGATTTCTGAGCTGTAACTTCCTTTGTTGACTTACTGAAAAACATTTATAAAAGGCTGTGAATATACAATACCTGACTGTTCACCCATTATGATGCTGCACTCTTATGCTGTGAAACAGAGCATGATAAACCTGCTCTAATGTCTTTGTAGGTATTTATACGTCAGGCAGCTGAGTGCAGCCTTCAAGAAATCTCAGGAGCACTTTAAAATGAAAATAGTTCTCTGGCCATAATAAAAGATTAATGCTGTCATGCTTTGAAAAAAGATTCTGTGAAAGATTCAAACTAGGAGTGGGATATTAAATGCCCTGTGTAGCTAAAGTCAGATTTTAACTCAAGGTTTAAGTTGGTGATGAATGTGTTTTTAAAATTAGAATTTCATGTCTTTGCAGACATCAGCTGATAGGTGCTATAATATATATCCAATACACTATAAATACTATAACTCACCAGGCCAGTAGAATAATCTCACTTGATTCGGCTTGTTTAGCAGATTTGAGAAAAGCGTGGGAGCAGGGAGCGATTTCCAGGAGATTATGGATCACTTGCGGGAGTCAGGGAGGAGACGCTGATCTCTAGGAGACTTGAGATGTCTGTCTTTGTGCCCATCAGAGCAGGATCTCGGCAGTATCCGAGCAGGGTGATATACTGCTAAGGTTGGGGAAAGGGAGAATGTTTTAAATCGGAAGTGTGAATGAATAGGACAGAACAGAACAGCCGTCACACGCAGTCAAGAGAGGGAGGCCAATGTCCGACAGCACACGAGAACATAGAGATGACAAATGTGGCCCATTGTGTTCTTTTTGTTAAGATCTTTTCTAGGTATTTCTTGACATAACGAGGGTGTGGACTAATAGCATGGTGGGGCAGGTTGTTCAGATGATAAACTCCCCTTTTCTCAAATGTGCCTCCTGTTCTTTCTCAGTTTCAGCTGCACTTCCATGTAGTTTTCACTTAAGTCCTCTTGTTCATAGTTCCTTTTTGATTCAGAAGAAGCCTGTGGGTTGCCTTTGGGAATGCCAGGGCATTTGGGAATTTTTTAATCATTGATGCAGTTTCCCTTGTGAACTTCTCTGTTCACGGCGACTATACTCAGCTCTTTTAGCCTGTCAGTACGAGTCCAGGAATGTTTCTAGATGCTCTTCTTTAAACTTTAATGTGGGGAAGCAATAATCTTTTTTGTAACGTGACAAAAATCTTACTAGTGAACTGTAAAATTTTAATTTAACATCCCTTATTTTACATTCTGCACATTTATCCTAACCTTGTTTGTCTTTTCATTGCTTCCCCACTTTTTTTGCAGAAAATATAAATATATCAACGTAAACGCCTGATCCAAGAAATGGCTTAAATTCAGGTTTTTTAATTTTATAGCTTAGATTTACTACCTGCATGTAACAATCTTCTCTTGTCTACATTGAATGTCTTCTGCCAGGTGATTGCCCAGTCTAGAGTTGTATAAGTCTCTTTTGCCACAACCACAGTATTTATTAGCCCTTTAATTTGGGAAAATTACTAGTTTACTAAGCAAATAAGAATTGATGCTATCTGTACTGTTCTGTTTCCATTAACCAGCTCTCACTTGTTTGATTTTCATGTTGCTAGTCTCGCATTTTGGTTAATCTCTGCCTGAAAAACCTGATGTCCCCCCCCCCCCCCAATCTATTTGCGGACAATTAAAATCCCCCACGATCATTACTTCTGTCTTTACACACATCCAGTTTTCTGATTTTGCTTGTAGTAGTTTTAAAATGTATGTTTACGATGCATTCAGCCTGCAGTGGTTAGAATAATGCTAAGTGCAGGAAAAGTTGTAACTTCCTCAGTTTTTCTGTAGTGTGTTCTATATAAAATATGCCCCTTGGGGAAAAAGCTGAAGTGATCTGAACTGCCGTTTCAGTATACTGCATGTGATATTTAGATTGTAACATGTGGTATTTTACATTGCAGGGCTGCCGAAACTTACGGTCATAAATTGAGTTTTATGAGGGAACGGCAGCATTGAACTTCACAAAGCTTTACTGTGTGTATATTTCAGCTGGGACGGCTACAAAGATCTCCTTAAGTTTGTTTTATTTGTTTAGGGAAATGACAGCTGTTTGAAATATTTCATTATGGGAAACGATGCAGAAACTCCTAGAGTTAAATGTAAACCTAAACCAAAGTCCATATTACAATAAAGATGTTAAATTGACTTTCTATATACAAATATTCAGTTTTATTTCAATTGAAATCAATTTTTTAATACAGTCAAGGGCCTTGTTAAATGGGATATAACTATTACATTCTAACAAGCTATTATCATCGTTGGCTTTGTGTGAATAAATTAAGAAATTTTAATTTGTCTAGTTTCTCATTGGGAAATAACTGTTCGTTTCTTTGGGATGGTATTAAACTTTGAATCAGTAATTTTTTCACTCGTTGTTCTCTTTTGGCAGCGTGTGCAATTTAATTTATCTGTAAAACAAGTCATGATCTCAAATCTGTAGTGTCCTCTAGGCTGTTCTGCAATATTATGGGCTCATCTCATAGTGGTTGATCAGAAAACGTTCTTTGAGTGTGACTTTAAATCTATTAGAACTCTGTGTTGGAATGCACATGAACTATAGTGAGCAAAGTGTATATCTAAAGGACTAAAAGTGTGGAATAGTAGTGTGCACCCTGTAAGTCTTTCTTACTGTTTAATTTAGATTAATATTGGTGGGAACGGTGAGGTTTAAAAGCTAAATCAGAAAAAACAGTTTGTCTCCCGGTGATGTTGGTCTGCAGTAACTGTGCATCAGTCTGCATTTGTACACAGCTGTCCTATACTGCTGTTCTGGAGCTTTGTGTACTCCCTGCTTTACTCTGCCTCAGTCTATTAATTGCCCTCCGGAGTATTTGCCTGCCTGCACTGCACAAACATTGCTTTTCTCATTGCGCAGGGCAGCTATTAAGTTACTTATCCACTTGGTAAGTGATTGCTGTACAGCTTCCTGCTGTATTTATCAGCTGATGACTAAACAGTAGTGCCGTTTCCATTGTGGCATCACTTCTCATGGAAATGGAAATCCTGGTGTACTTGTTAGCGATTTAAAACCTCACTGGACATCTTGTGGCTATAGATGAAGCCTTCTTAAGTTAAATCACTGTATAGCCTGTGAGCTACCCGTGGTTTTGAAGCTGCAGTTTGAAGACCTTGTTTTTTTCCTTCTTTACTGTTGCAAAAATTGGACTTGTTTGAAACGGGGAAGATATTGCAACGTGGACGCTGTGTAGTTTTTGGATATTGCATTTCTAGAAGAAAATGAAAAGGAACCATGTCCACGTGGTAGCCCCTCTGAAATAACAGAGCTGCCCTTTTGGTACTCCGAGGTCCTGCATGGCCAAGTCTGAAAAGGCCTGATCTAGATCTTCACCTGCCTGGCCGTTTTTTTAAAAAAGAAAAATAAGTTGTCTGCGGTTTTGTAGAAGTCACGTGACTTTAATTTCCCTGCCAATTTGCATTTTTGGAGGTCGCAGGCTGAAGTGCAGCTAGCAAACCTGATAATAAAGATGAGAGATCGGTCACTGTTTTGAATTTTATCAGAAAGCTTAGAGGGGTGTGGGGTGGCACTGTTGCTGTATTTATGCATTTCAAAGTCGCACAGATCACGGTGAGTTTATCAAGCTTTAGAACATCGGCCACTAGCTCCCGCAAGATTAGTATTTGCATATTATTCAGATATGCAGAATACCGGTGTTTCCATACCACAGGAGTTTCACATCTCCTTTTCCTAAATATGCACACCAGGAATTATGTTCAGGGTTGCGCTGTCTCGCATTGGTCAGTTAGCACAGGGGCACTCGGGCTTCTCTGTCTGAAAACGTCAAGTGTTGGACCTCATTTTTGCCCCTTTCCCTCCGCAGATATGTTCAGACGAGTTGTGCGCCAGAGCAAATTCCGTCACGTCTTTGGCCAGGCGGTGAAGAACGACCAGTGTTACGATGACATCCGGGTGTCGCGGGTCACCTGGGACAGCTCCTTCTGTGCGGTCAACCCCAGATTCGTTGCCATAATCATCGAGGCCAGTGGAGGAGGGGCTTTCCTGGTTCTTCCACTGCACAAGGTAAGGAACTCCTCTCGTTTTATTGAGCCCGGAGCACTGGCGTTAGATTTCGGAGTAATGCAAAGTGTCCCAGGGGGAAGCAGTGGAAGACTTCATGGGAAGAGGCGCCTGTGAGAAATTGCCTTTGCATGGCATGGGTGAACTTTAATGTGTCTGGTCTGTTCAGATCTCTAAAGAAGGGTGTTTCTTTGATCTTTTGTCTCTTTCAAGCAAAGTACAGATTAAATCAATAGTGCCACTGCACCGGAGCCAAGAATCTGGCATGCTTAATAGAGCGCCTGAAATCAAAATTCATCTCCTTGTACGCTTATCTGACGGAGTAAGTAAGCTTAACCGTGTGAGATGTGCACCGCTCGTATAGCTTAGAAGTCAGATCTGTTTTTGCACTCCAGGCTAATGTGTAATGTTCCCAAGCCACAGGCAAACACAAATCACGACTGGCTTTGTGGCATTGGACACAGGCAGCCACCAAGCCCAAGCCTGCACTTTTAAAAACTTGCATGCAGTAACCCTCCGCGCCATGTAGATTTGAGTGTACCGCTGAGATTGCTAGTCTGAAATTGCTAAATCACAAGTTGGTGAGACGGAAAGCTCTTCCCGCAGTTTATTTAAAGGGATATTTTTTTCTCTCGCTCATTTGTTCCAGCGAGTAAGCATATTCTGTCCACCCTGAGGACTTGTCACATGCCCTGACATAGCAACAGCATGACGCCATCAGAGTCTAGATCATAGTTTTTTTTTCTTCCAGAGCTGAGTCCTGTCATTACTGTTTCTGTCTGACAAGAGTGCTATACACATGTTGTGATGTGGCAGTTCTTTTAGCACAATATACCTCCAGTTTTTAAAACGGGTGATGTGGTAAATGTGCTTAAACACGCAAAATACATGGTTTGCGGTTCTGCAGTTGATTACATTAATCACAAATTACCGGATCTTACTGTCACTTGTGTAGAGTCCTACTTCCTGCTTCTGGGATATAACTTAAAACGGCTATTGCCACAGGGATTAGGAATTTTGAAGTTGGGGAAAATATTACTTGTTGATGATTGAAAAAAATCTGTATTGTGCCTCAGTCTGTTACTTAATACAGTCAGTATGATATCAGCGCAGGTGATCATAAATTATTTCACATATGCTACAGATTCCTTCACACAGCACTCAGCAGTTCCTGAAATGCCTAGGGGGAGTGGCTTGCCCTCAGACTCTTGGGACTGTTTATTTTGCAACAGCAGTGGGATGGCTTTAGGGAATAAAGGGTCGCTGTGACACTTCTGGAGATCACCTGGTCTCCAACTGTAAATAAACATTTGCATTTGAACTGTGCTGCTGCTGGCTCGTCCGGAGACGAGCTGTCTTAGACCTCAGCTGTTATTTTACAGGTAGCGTCTTGTATTGTTGATGGGAGAGGTTTGCAGGTGTTTGCTGAGAGCCTGTGCTTATCTGTGACACATTTCATTGTGGTATCTTAGCCCAGCATGCTTCACAAATAAGATTTTTGTCCTAGGTCCAGCTGACATTCTGAATGATCAGGAATTATCTTTTTATTGTGCAGTGATCAGATATAATCATAGATTTGATTTTCCTGAAATTTACCCTGAACTATTAATGATTTTTAATAACTCAATGCATCACATGAGTCTAGTTTGAAGTCTCCAGTTGCTGGTTTGTATGAAGACATTGGGGAGTGTCTTTCAGCAGACTGGTAGATATCACAAGCATGTTGTGGTCATACTTCCTGCTGGCTGTTCTCTGCTTTGCCCTGGGCAAGCTTATTATACTGATGTTTTTGTGATTTTAATGTTTTTTTCTTTCATCAGCCCACCTCTGCAACATTACTGTGCTTCCCAAGCTCAATGGCTTGAGTAAGAATGGTTCTTGGGCTGAATGTAGGCCCTTCAAAAGGAGTTGCTTGTTGGCAGGTGTCACGTTTTTGCGATGGGGGGAATAAGAGTATGTTGCATGTGGTGCTTTGAAAGCAGTTCCAGTTTTTAAAAGGCAATATTTTCAAACCATTTGATTATATGGCAAATACTAAATTTTGTATGGTAGCTAAAATGGTCAGGATTTGTGAGTATTTGCTATGGACGTAATGAAATATATTTGATTTTTTTTGCTTTATTATAATGCTGCAATTTTAATACTGTACTATTTTTATCAAAATACTCGAGGAGTGTCTGATGCAGATGTACCCTTGTCAGCTTTTTTTGCAAACGTGTCATTATTTGAATGCAGTATAGATGACATTCTTGGCCAAGACGGCTTAAACTGCTCCTCTGTATTTTGTGCACGACTACTTATTGAATCTGTGAAAAATACTCATTCTTCTTAAATCATCAATGCATTGAAAATGCTTTATGAATGGTCTGTATGGCAAACCAACAAGATCAGGCTGTCGGTTTCAGCACTGTTTCTTTCTCTGCGTGACAGACCTTCTGTGGGATAAAAAAAGCTGAGGCGAAAAATGAAAACTACAAAGGGTCCGCATTTGTTTTGTGTAAACTTAATGCAAATATTTACAAATTGCAGTGCTTCAGTCACTGAATAGGACTTGGCTGATTCTGATCTGTAGAACAGTAGTAAACCACAGAATTGGTTTGTTCTTCTCGCAAACCAATTGCCTTAGCTCTGTTACAGCAGCCTCAGGTTTGACAGGTAAGAACGTGATAACTTGTTGTGTAAAGCTGGTGTTGACCAGCACAACCTCAACCAGTCACTTAGGGTACTGGAAATGAGCCTGTTCTTGGACCGTCACTGGGGTCTGAGTAAGATCTTGCGCCCAGTCGTCATGTCGATTACACTACTCAGTATTGAGGCCTTGAGTTCTTTTTTTAAGTTCATGGTATTGGTATATTTTTGTTTTTATAGAATGCGCTCTGAGTATGCTTATGTATTTTAAAAACAAACAGTGTGGTCGTGACTTCACAAGGGCCACCCCTCATAGTTGAGACAAAGAGGGGAAGAGCTGTTATTTCTGCCTCCTGCGCTGCGGTTTGCTCAGACGCGGCTGCTTTGTCATACTGGCTTCTCCAGCAGACGGGACTTTCTGAGACCCTGCGACTGCAGCCTCGTGGGAAGACGGTCTCGGAAACACATCTTTGTTAAGGTTTAGCCCCCCCTATCAAGTGCATTAGACAGCAAGTTTGGTTCTAGGCGTGGACCGTGTGTAGAATCCGGAGCACTGGAGCTCACATTGAGTGTTTGCAGTGATTTAACGTTTAATCCATTTCTGCCATGACATGGATGTTTAACTTACTTGAGTATGGGATTTCAGATGGTAACACTCTGTGCATGAGGAACAAGACCAACCTTATTTGTGTATGGCAGCAGGCTTGGAGATTTACCCCATATGCTGCGTCTCTTACCTACATGACAGTGGAGCATCTGTCCTGAGTCCCAGCTGTACAGGCTGTTCCTCATTCTAGTTCTCTTGTGATCAGCTGTGCTTTGCAAGTCATTATTCTGGAGCATGCCTAAGGCCCTGCAGGGTTCTCTGCCCCAAGTTTGTTGTAATTAGGCTTCCAGTGGAGTTGGAGCCCATTAAACGGGTCATTCCTGCAGAATGGCTTTGTTTTAACACCCATGGGAGTCCTCTGGCTTAATGTTGGGCTCCTTTGAGTTTGCTTTCTGCATCCTTTTTACTAGGGAAAGCCTTTGAGGACCTTGTATTTCCACCTAGTGTGAAGACTGTTTTGGTTAAATTTACCCGAACCAGATTTTTTTGTACTTTTTGTAAACAAGTTCTCTGTGATTGGATTTTTGTACCATTCCGTATGTCAAATGGAATGCATTTTGAAGTGTCTCCTCTGTATAAGAAAACGCATAGCATGTACATTGTAACCTGTATTCATAAGTCTCATAGATCTGTAGAGCACCTTAAATCTGTGAACGGTGCTTATTACCAATATATCTGGCAGGTGCTTTTGCCCAAAGTGACTAACATTTGCACCCATTCGCCCACAGTGGGGTATTTTATCGGAGAAATCCGATTGCAATTCCTTGCTCAGGTGCACAACACCCCGGGATTTAACCACAGTCTTCCAGAGCCCAGCGCCACCCTGATCTCTGCTCCACACTCCTGCTTGTTTTAAAGGGGAGCTGAAATGCTGCTTGTGGTTCCTATATAGACTGCAAACTGTCAGTCCCTCGTTCTCTTGGTGTTTCTGGTCCCTGAAACGTGCTGTGCTGTTGGCGTGAATAATCTCGCTCTCCTGGGCACAGGGCGGAAGCCACGCCTGTCTCCCTCCGCGCGGAGAGGTGCTCCAGGCAGGCCTCGTGGCCGGGTCAGCCCGGGGCTTTGTTCCTGCTCCCCGGCAGGCTGCGGGGGACACAGGCGGCGGCGGGAGGAGAGGGCATCAGGTGTCTGACTAATCGTGTTTTTGTCAGGCATCTCGGTCTGAAGCTTGATCGTTTATTCTTGCCTCATTACCATATGAAAGAAAACCAGACCCCCCCCCCCGCCAGCCCTGCGGACTGCTTCCCGTAATCCCACTCGGACTGGAGCTGGAGAAAGGAAGCAGACCGCAAGTCCTATGAAAGAGTCCTGCTTTCTTCCTCTTTCCTGCGGTATTGTGTTCCTTGACCAAGCTGCATGATTACAGTGGTTCTTTTCACGGCGCTCTCTGGCTCTGCTCACTGCTCCCTCCCGTCTTCCCGCGCACGGACGCAGGCAGGCATGTCCGGCTCGTACGCAAGCTGCGCTGCTTTTTCCTTTCGAGTACCGATGGCAGACAGCTGCCCCCCGCCCCCACACTTCAGCATCGTTAACCCATCTCCCGTCCCATGGTCTGGGAGCCGCCTCTGGGCCCCACCATCGCTGCATGGCACTAAGCAGGGCAGTGCGCTCGAGATTGGATACCGCTCTTTCTGTATTGGCCTTGATAAAAGCCAAGACAGACGAAACAGATTTTATTTATTCTGCCCTCAAATTTGCTTTCCTGCCTCAGGCTACGGTCTGCTTCAGTGCTTGTGTTCATGACGGCACCCCCGCCCCACGACGCGCG